GGGGGGGGGGGGGGGGTAGATGGGGGGACTCAACCACCCCCCCCCCGACACCTCCTCCCACGCATGCAACACGTATTCATTGATGGAAGTGCTGATGTTTGCACCTTAGGCTCAGCACATCTTCACCTTGGCACACACAGCACATCGACATCTTAACACACACAGCACATCTTCATCTTAGCACACACAGCACATCGACATCTTAGCACACACATGACATCTTCATCTTAGCACACACAGCACATCTTCATCTTAGCACACACAGCACATCGACATCTTAACACACACATGACATCTTCATCTTAGCACACACAGCACATTGGCATCTTAACACTCACATGACATCTTCATCTTAGCACACACAGCACATCTTCATCTTAGCACACACAGCACATCGACATCTTAACACTCACATGACATCTTCATCTTAGCACACACAGCACATCGGCATCTTAACACACACATGACATCTTCATCTTAGCACACACAGCACATTGGCATCTTAACACACACATGACATCTTCATCTTAGCACACACATCATATCTTCATCTTAGCACACACAGCACATCGACATCTTAACACTCACATGACATCTTCATATTAGCACACACAGCACATCTACATCTTAGCACACACAGCACATCTACATCTTACCACACACAGCACATCTTACCACACACAGCACATCTACGTCTTAGTACATCTCCATCCTAGCACACAGGACATCTTCATCTCAGCACACATAGCACAACTACATCTCGGCACATAGAGCACATCTACATCTTAGCACACACGGCACATCTTCATCTCAGCACACATAGCACATCGACATCTCAGCACACATAGCACATCAACATCTCAGCACACATCTCTTCAGCTTATACCTACACAAATAAATGTTGACCCATCTGACAGCTTGTCTTCAACAAAATTTTATTTTCTCCAAAATTAAAGAACTTTTCTTTTCTTTATCTTTTTTGGGCGTGGTATCTGGGGGGAAAAAATTGTGGTACGTCCTGGGAGTTCCTTACCTTAAAATCACTTCTTAAAAAAAAAAAAAAAAGTAATAATTGCTGAAGTAGTCGCCGCTTGTCTCATTGGACCGACTGGTTAGTCTCCCCTAGTCCATTGTAAGTCTCATCGGATCCGATGAGACTGGTTTAGACGGCTGCCACAACAGACCTTTACTTTTCTCTTGTTGTCTCCCCTGTATAATACCATAGGGGTGTGTTGTACACGTGACCATGGGTGACATGGCGAGAACCCAATCTGACCGTGATCTTTAACAACGGTGCCCAAAGTTTGGCGTGGAACCCATGGATTTAAAAGAACGAATTTTCAGGCGTTTATTTATTCTTTCCTCGGAATTATTTCTAACCTAATTTAATGGAACGCCATTCATTGAATGGCGCACATTTTTATAAACTGGCTGTTTGGGCCGTACAAGGAAGGCCGACAGTTTCTGAATTGTGGGGCAGTTGGGTCAAATTGTAAGGCAGTTGGGTCAGGAAGTGGGGCAGTTGGGTCAAATTGTAAGTCAGTTGGGTCAGGAAGTGGGGCAGTTGGGTCAAATTGTAAGGCAGTAGGGTCAGGAAGTGGGGCAGTTGGGTCAAATTGTAAGGCAATTGTGTCAGGAAGTGGGACAGTTGGGTCAAATTGTAAGGCAGTTGGGTCAGGCAGTGGGGCAGTTGGGCCGGGATGTGGGGCATTAGGGTTGGGATCTTCAATAACTTTTGGATACTCTTGCTTGGGTATGTGAGAACCCTTGTGGTATGTGAGAACCCTTGTGGTATGTGAGAACCCTTGTGATATGTGAGAACCCTTGGGATATGAAGTGTTCAGGGTTGAATGGTGGACGTAGCCAAGTACGCCATGTAGCCCTCGCAGGCCTCCATGTGGCCCTCGTCCACTGACGGCCACGGGTGAACGAGTTTCAAAAGGTTTAAGCCGAGTTTTGTCACTAGTTTACTTACTGAGCACAGAGCGATAGCTTTTACCCCGAGGTCAGGGGGCGGAACTACCACCTATGAGGGGAGTGATGGGGCGGGTTTGGTGGGGGGGATTGATGTGGAGGGCTGCTGAATAGGTAGAAGGTGTCCTGAATTTTAATCACTGCCTACGTCTCGTTCATTCTAGACAAAGAGAGAGAGAGAGAGAGGGGGGAGTCAGAGGGAGAGACAGTCAGAGAGAGAGAAGCAGAAGCAAATCTAACCAAATTTTTTAAAATTTTTTAACCAAAACTTTTTTATTTATTGATACTTTTTTTTGCTGAAACACAATTTCCCCCCCCCCCCCTTAAACTAAAAAAAGTATTTTGCTGCTAACTAGGGCGGCCTTTAAATGATTGAAATATCTATTATAGGAAAGAAAAAAAATAGATAATGTCCTTTCTTTTTAAATTTTCATTTGTTAGTGCGCATGCGTGCCACATCTTATGCATAATGACCACTGTCCGTGGTTGGACAGCTCCAATGAAGAGTGTGTATTAACTACTACGTCGCGTCTTGCTTCTTGTCCTCTGCTTGAGATTACTCACCTTGAGTGAGACTGAGTGGT